CCCTCCACCGTCCCAAGGGCCCATGTGGGGTTGCATGGGGATGTGGGGTAACTCTGCTGTGGAGGGGACTCAACTGGCTGCCGGTCCTGCAGGCTGTGTGTGTGTGTGTGTGTGTGTGTGTGTGTGTGTGTGTGTGTGTGTGTGTGTGTGTGTGTGTGTGTGTGAGAGTGAGAGTGTTTGTGTGTGACAGGGCTGAACCTGCCTGTGGGCGATGTAATAAAAGCGCCACACACTGCTGGTAGTGATGGTGGCACTGCTGCTGCTGCTGGAGCTGCAGAGGAGGGGATAAATATAAACCAGGCCCGCATCAAGGAGACGGCCCTCCAGTCACATCCTGACTTACATCCTAATAATTAGGCCCCTTTCCAATAAAACAAGGATTTGTGGCCATGCATCTATTTGACTTGTGTTTGCTGCTGCAGTGGGAGGGATGCATGATGTGCTGCAGTCTCTCTGAAGCTGAGGCTATGGGAGGATTTCATTTCAGCATGATTGGAAAGTGATCAAAAACATTTATCAAATGTTCCTCTTGATATTCAAACTTTAGAAGACTTTTTTCCTCTTATCAGCACCTTTCGGAAATCACAGTTTACACAGTCAAAAATGTATTTCCATATTATGATATCTCTATTAAAATCCTTATGATAAAATCCAAATCACTTAAGGGTATTTCCAGTTCATGCACCTGTTTGAAGCATTTCCATTCTGTGGCTCTCAAACACACATGCAGGCACACTCTCTGATAGTGGCTGATCAATAGAGGAGGCCCTCAGGTCGACACTGCATGTTATCTTTACCCTCGTAATGTGCACTACCTAATCCTTTGCTCTTACACACTCTCCACAACATTACCTCTTTGTCTGTGTGTTGTTCTCTTTTGTCTCAAATACACTATTGGATCATCATTATCTATGTATTTCAAAAAGAAAATAAGTGATAATGTTTGAATATCATACACAGTGCGTTTATATATATCACTTGCTCTAAACTACACCGTTGTTAACCTTATGAACCAATTCCAAAAATAAGTAAAATGTTGAGGCATGATACTAAAATGTGATGACACATTCCCCCCCCCCATATATTTAAATAAGGGCTCTCACAACATCAGATTTTCAATAAGCATGGCAAAACAGATATTCAATTACAAAATGATTGCAACATCTTAAGAACATTTTAATATTTAAATATATTGAACATTTTGAAACGATTTGTGTGTTATCCCTTAACAGCATGATGTTAATGTTTACTAGACATAAACTGGCAAAAACAATAAATTGCTAGTAGATTGGTATCACTCACCATGGTAATCTTTGATAATCTATGGAGTAGTTGCTTGCATTTTGCCCTTTGGTTGGTGGACAAAAAAGCTATATTTTGCACGCTGAAAGCAATACTTCAAAGTGATTTCCCATATTTTGTCCCACCGCTGGCTGGCGGACTGTAATTTAATTCCTATTACCTGTATATCACATTAATGAGTGTTTGAGAACTTCTAAAGAAAGCACACTGGGGATGACAGCGAAAAGAAGGAGAAAGAGAGAGGGGGGGGGGCTTTTCAGTCCAGGCGGGGGGTATCAGGCTAATTAAAGCGAGCATTTGTCAGAGATTAAGCCTTAAACAGAAAGGTCATCTGAGCACCAGAGCGCACTGTTTCGCTGCTGTTCTCTTAGGGCAGTCTAAACCTTTCCATGCTAAATGGTAAAGATGCTATTTGCCAGAGGAGGGGGAGGGGAACCAGACCCCGACCACTGGTTAGACTGACACTCGGGTCATTGGTTCTTCACTGTCCATTACACATACTGGTCAAATCTGGCAATCGGTGTCATTTAGGGAGGAAAAATAAGTGCTCGAACAAGATCAATAGATGCAGCCGTCTGTAGCAGCTGTGATTAATTGACTGTCACCAATTAATGGCCGTCCTGTTGCAAAGCAATGCAATCTTAGCGAGACAATGGGACATGTCGAAAATGGGTTTTTCTTTTATTTCAGTCTGTTATTGGTTATTCTAGAGTTTCCCATGACAAATTCACAAACCACTTGGATACAATTTGCAGGTTTACTATAGCACACTACAACAAAATCTTGCATGTCAGGAGCTCTTTGAAGTCATTTGTGATATTGAGACAAATATGGGTTCGAATAAGAGCTTGTGCTGCAAACACATCCACACATTTGTTGATTTTTTAGTTCGATCAACATTTGATATTTCGATGTATAACTGCTGTTTCAAAAGGTCTGTATAATAAACTCTCATTATACAGCGAAGTTACAACAAAGTGTTTGGCAAATTAATACCTCATGCTCAACTTACTAAACTAAACCATTTTAATCATGTAATTCTGTAATTCTCATAAAACAGAAGTTGCACAGAAGAATGAATGAGTGCTGCCCGATAATGCATATAATATTATGTTGAAAACAACAAAACAAGTGCCGGCCATGTTTTAAATTGGCATCAGTGTACAAGCTTTTTCACAAGCCAGTCAATTGTAATCGTATTAGATCCTGAGAAGATGTCCTGGTCGGAGATACAATGAAGCATAGGACATGTTGCTTTAGATATGAGTAATGGCTCACAAGGGCTAAACTGTGGTGGAGATGTAATTTGAAATATTTGTAGTAGAAATTATGCTAATATTAGCTCACTCTGTATCATTATTTATAAATTAGATCGTTTACCTGAGTTGAAAGCTTGCTAAATATTACAGTGCAATCTTCATTATGGGCAGGTTTCAAATGGATGCATTTGCTTAACAGAGAGGAATTGACATTTTGCAGTTTTTCCATGTTGTGATGTAGATGTTTTTTTATTTGATATTGCAATAAAATATAAAGTATGGTCCTAAGGATTGGCTATGCTTTATCAATAATAAAAAATAATAATAAAATCAATAAATATCAGAAAGTTAAATAACACTGGTAGGTTTTATTGGAAGCATTATGACCTACAGTATAGCAACCTGGTTTTCTAAGTCTGTGTGCTTAAAGTTTTGCCAGAACTTTACTGTGTAAATAGTACGAATGAGTTTACTTGAAAAACATTATTTTTGTTTACAAGCTAATTCTATCCCAAATACAAGGCATCTGTATACAGCAGTAGCCAATATCTGCAAGTATAATTTCCATTTATTTTTAACCACATTCAACCTTTGGAAAGTCTTCCCAGTTTCACTTTTAATATTTACTTTCCAGTCAAATCCATGAAATGCAAATCCCACTCCAATCTAAGCATCGCTCTGAATGACTCGTTGCTGTATACACTTTTATGGGAAACACAGCTGTCTTTTCCATCACGCTTTAAAAAGGGACTTTTGCTTTGGCTCCATGAAATACGATGTACAACTTTTGCTCATACCTTTTTTCAGTAACATAACATCTGCTTTATATTTTTTATTGTGCATCTTAGCTATGCTTGGGATTAGTTAAGTTTACATCAAATGGATGCATCTTTTATATGGTCTGAAGTATATTATTGTCGATATTACCTATTTGAAAGTGTTGGCACTATTTCTAATTTTGTTGGGAATCAGAGACGGGAGCAGGCCTTTAGAATAACATGGCCTTGTTTTCTCATCTAGGTCATATACATGCATCAGTAATACATTGAAACTCTTGGATTAACCAGTTAAATAACAGTTACTATCATGTAAATCATAAACATTCCTAAAGTTAGTTCACAGTTTTCTTATTGTTTTCACTACTTCTGAGACCAAAAATACAACTCCGAAAAGAATTAAGAGACCACTGCAAAATTACAAGTTTCTCTGGTTTTACTATTTATAGTATGTGTTTGGGTAAAATAAAATAAAAATTCTACACTGACAGCATTTCTCTTTGTTGGAATTCACCAAACACTGGAATGTAATGGATGCCATACATGTAGAGATTGAGATTTAAGAAACATTTGGAGTGGTCTCTTACTTTTATCCATAGCTGTATGTGCACAACCTTTATAATAACCAACAGATTTTTTCTTCAACCATCACTTTTAAATTAAGACTAGACTTACTTTCAATTACTACATAAAGGCCAAGTAGCAGTTAATGGGAGTCAGTTAATTAGCCAACCTTTTGTGGGAGAAGAACTCCTTTTCTCCATGATCCTCGACAGTGACACATTTTTATACGGATATTTCCTATTATGTTCAGTGCATGGTGGAAGTACAAAACAACTAATCAACTGTACATTTAACCCAATTAGTAAATGAACCCAGTAAGTGCAAGAGATTTGTGTAAAATGTGTGATTTGGATTCATTTTTAGAAGAATATTTCCTGTAAACATTGCATCAATTAACACAACAACAATTAAAATACCTTGGGAAAGCAGATTAATTATCTATTGCTAATCAGCAAAACAAAGTTACCAACTATTTTACAAGATAAAGACAGGTAAGAAATAGAGGGGTACCAAAACACAACTAAAATAAAAATTGGACTTAAATGCAGCAGTTACACACGGTTCCAAATGCTGTTGCCTTCTGTTAATGTTAAAACGGTTAAAACAGGCTTTTTTATGCTAAAACATTATTTATGCCATAACAGCTTAAAGGCTAGCATTATGGAGCATGACCGTATTTTGACTGCACACGTGTTGGAAGGATATCTTACTGCTTCTTCGAACGTTTTCCCGATGAGCTAAGCAGTTTGACTTGGCAAACACATGTGTATTGGTATTGTATAATTAGCATTAATTATGCTAACTATTAGTTATAGGTTTAAACCTTTGCTAAATTTGCCGCCTTTTAGCCCTTTTGGCTTTCCGTAGTTCTACGACTCGCGCGCTGTGAAGCGAGTACTGGTGGGACCCGGCGGACACTTGTATTTTCCGGGGGGGAGTTTGTTGTGCAGGGGGTATTCTTTTTGAAATCATGGCTGTTAACTTTCAGACATCGATCCTTTCCCTGACTCTGCCGATTTCCTGCCAGATATGCCTTGGAAAGGTAAGTACCGTCCCGCTTTCAGACGGTTTACGTCCGTTAGCCGTAAACAAAGATGTTGTGTTTACACGGAATTCACTTCAGCTTTAGTAACCGTATCGTGGTTACGTTAAGTCAGAGGTTTAACGTAACTAACGCTAGACCTTCGTGCAGCTAACAAAAGCCAATGTTTACAGGATTAGCTCGAACTGTTTCCTAGCGTTGGACCATGTACCCTTATTGCCAAACTTGGCTCGTATTCTGCTCGTGTTTCAGGTCAAGCAGCCGGTCATTTGTGCCAACCACCACGTGTTCTGTTCCTCCTGCATGGAAATGTGGTTAAAGAAAGCTAGCCAGTGTCCCAGCTGCAGAGTCCCCATCACAGCTGAGAACCCATGCAGAGAAATCATCGGTGAGTAGCTCCATACAAACAGGACAAAAGCTAGGACTACAAGCAGGATATGAGAGGTAATGTGCCTGTAGCATTTCACAGCTGAGTCACCGTGACATCACAATACATGTTGTAAAGGTGCATGGAAGTTCAGGTCGTTGTTAATGTTTGAGTTATCAATAGCCCAGTCAATACTTCAACACATACTCTGTTATTGGATTATTAGTGAAATTATCTTGTTGTTATTTACCCATTTGACAACATAATTTCATAGGAAAACTGTGGACAGTATCACTGCAGTGTAGCAAACTTCAGATTAATTTAGTCTATGAACCACATACCATTTTCCAAATTTTTGTTTGGAAATAGGGATGTCAACATGCATTTCCAAGCATTTGGACTACCTATGTTGTAAATGTTTTATCTTTTCAATTTACACACGGCATCTATTTCACGTCCCTCTGTTACTCTCCCTGAGGTTTCTCCCATTTTCCACTTTAAACTGTGGGTTTTCTTTGGAAGATTTTCCTTTTTAAGATGTGAGGGTCCAAGGACAGAGGGTATATTGTCGTATTGATATTCTGTACAAACTGTGAAGTCCACTGAGACAAATGTAACATTTGTGTTATTGGGCTATATAAATAAACATTGATTGATTTATTGATTAAAGAGAACGGATATAGGGGTACCAAGTCAATAGCAACAGTTTGAAAATGTGACAGACAATGTGGAATTTCACTCAACTGACTATATTTCTTTGTTGCTTAGCTACATTAAGTTGACTTGCATGTTCTTGCATGCATTGATTTTATTGTAATTGTTTTTTAAAACACAAGTGACTCTTGTATGCATTCGTAACTTGCTGGCCAACACGATTCAAAATGGAGCTACTGAATCGCACATTTTTAGCTGTTTTTATCTGCTTCTAGTTTTTGTGCTAAGGTAGGCTAATCCTGTCCTGGCCAATGTCTGAGCTGAACAGAAGCTCAGTTGATATTAATATTGTCATCAAACTCAGAGTTAGACGGCCAACAATCATACTTCCCAAAATGCTAAATAATGTGAGTTAAGGGAAGGCAACAGTAATGGAGGCAGCTCTATACCAATACAACTGATACATATTGCACTTTCATCAAAGCTGACAGAATTGGTAACATGTCTTTAATATGCTTTTTGTCTGTACTCCTGTGATTCTGTCATAGGAGGCACTAATGAGAGTGAACACAATGACAATCCTTCCATGAGAAAATGTCTGAGAAAAACCAGAGGAGAACTGCTTTTGCGGGAGTATGAGGTATGTGGTTATAATGCTGTGTATTTTCACATCAATGCCCTTTAACAGATTTATCAAGGGGTTTATCACCACCGCATCCACTGATGCGTATTTGCTCATTTACTAATTATTTGATACAAATTAGCAGTTTCTATAAAATATTGTTTCAAGTTACAACAAAAGAACCACAGTGATTATTTTTGAACTGTTTTTGTGACACAATTCTATTTTCTATCAGGAGGAAATGGAAGGGCTCTACATAGAAAACAAGGAGTTGAAGACAAAAAATCAAAGTCTGGAGTCACAACTGAAGACCGCTTTGGATCCTTGCAGCATTAAAACGGTGCAAATGGATGACAAAAAAGTTGAGCCCTATGTCCTGGAAGAATGGACCAACAAGCTGCAAGCTGCCACCAATGTTTGTGATGAAGTAAAGCAGGACATGGATAAGCTAAAGGAGGTATGTGAACTATAATAATCGATATGTTCTATTGATACCCATATATATTAATCCTGATAGATGAACACTCTAACATGTGGTTGTCATTCTGCTACATCATGTTATATGCACAAAATATAGACACATTATTAATATTATAGACATTAACATATTTTAATATAAAAACGGAAAAATATGAGCCTACTTCATGATACTGTATTAAGTACAAATCATTGTTTCTTGTGGAATCCTTCTTAACATAGTGCAAATGTGTTACTTTACTATCCTCAGGCAAATAGGGCGTTGCGGTTTCAAAACGTCGACCTTGTACAAGAGAACATGAGATTGAAAGCAGAGGTCGTGAGCAGATCTCCTCAGAAGTAAGCATCTTTTTGGTTTTCATGATACATGCATGCTTTTTCACTTTTCATAATAATGGTTAATTGAATCAATTTAAGTTCAGTTTCTCCAGGCTAAATCGGTAATACATGTAGGATTTTGATTGTGTCCCTCTATCAAATACAAATAAATCACAGAGCACTTTCCACCATGACGTTCCAAAAGACAAAGACCATTTTTATTTACATGTTGGTTTTCCTTTCTTTACAAATGAACTATGTTGCTAAGTTTCAATTGCTCTGCGAAGCCCAGCTAAATGTTTTTTGGCTTTTCTGTCATTATAATGCTTGAACAATTGAACGACACAAAGTAATCTGTCCCCAGGTTTGGTCGTAGTACAGTAGCAGCACTGGAAGCTACAATCCAGCAGAATGATCGGGATGTGGACCACCTGACGATGGCTCTGGAGCACGGCGACCGGTACATCAAAAACCTGGAGTCTCGGATCAAAATATCTGAGGAGAGACGTCTTGAAGGGAACAGTACGGCTGAGGCGGACCCGCTGATACAGCAACACAAAATCAACATGATGATGAGGAGCTTGAGTGACAATGAGAGAGAGTCCATCTGCAGCAATCCATTGGCAGAAGGTGGAACATTTGTTAGAAATCACACTTCAATGTTCATGCCATCTGCCGATTACAAAGAGCTTAAAAAGAGTCTGACAAGAGACCAGAAAAACGACGTGGACTCGAAAAGTACCTCCTCTGAACTTTTGCCCGCCACTCCGTCCTCGGCCTTCCGTTCCCTGACTCTGAGAAGCCCAGGTGTCCGTGAAAAGAAAGTGGCATTCAAACCTGCATCTCATCTGAGGAGGCTGGATTTTGAAGAACTGCCAAGTCCTGGAAAGAGTGGCAGCACCATGGAGAACCAATTCAGCAGCCTCGATGAATTACCCACAAGTACTGACGTCGAACCCTCCAAGTCTGTCTTCTGGGGCGCCTGGCAGGGATCTAAACCTGAAGACGGGTCATCTCCAAGTTTAGAGAGCTCAGCTTTAGGAGCCACTTCCAGTACTCTGGTGACGGACGAGCCCAAGGGTCTTGAGACGTTCAGTGACTCCTCCATGGATGCAGCTTACCTGGACAAAATCTCAGAGTTGGACTGCATGATGTTGGATGGAGAGAGCTCCAGCAGCCGAGGATCACAGCTCTCATTGGCTCCCTCCACTCCCGGAGACTTAGACAACACCCTCGTCCCAGAACCACAACCCTGCTCTGATGTCTCCTCAAGCCATGGTGGAAAACCTGCGACACAGTGTGACCAGAAGAGCTCCCCACCACATAACATGGGAGGGACCTTGAATGACAAAGAGGATCTAAAAGGCATCGCAGAGGAGAGCTTTGCTGCGCTGGATTCCTGTAGGGAGAGCGATGCCAACGTCCCTGACAGTACGGGGCACGGAGGGTCCTCCCAGACTGACGAGCTGTCCTTTGATTTGCTGTTTGATTCGCTGGAAGACAATAAGGCCGGTCCCTCTGGCTCTCTCAGTTCAGCAAGCCAAGACCATGACCATCTTAACCCCACCTCCTCCTCCTCCTCCTCGATGAGTAAGCCTGTGAACACAACAAACAGACATGCACTACTTATCAGCCAGCCAACCAAGAGGAAGTCTCACAGTCCCTTTAACTCAAGCAGTCCCACAAAACTTTCTAAGCTCATGTAAAGGGTAAAACCAGAACCTGTGAGTGTGTGTTTGGCTTCACATCCACACACAGCTGGAAGAAATAACTCCACTGTGGTGCTGCAGAATACATTCCTGAATATGATCCTCTGGTGTAAGATTTGGTCATTTTGTCTGTTGCTATTTGTAGGATTTAGAACAAAATAATTCAGATTTGTCAGATAGTTTATCTTGTAGTCTACTTTTTAGGTCTCAGTGACAGGTCAACCTGTACAGTCTGAGAATCTGTCTGTGTGTTAATCTGACAAACACCTCTGTGCTGTTATTTGTTATACTGTAGTGCACCCGTTTTGGGGCCAAAACAATTTTCAAACACTTTCAGCCTACCGGTGTTTGTCAGTTTAAGCTATTTAGTAAACATGGTACTCATGGTAATTATGGTTTACATGTAATACTGAAGACTGATGAACATGACTATTATGAAAAACTGATATTTTGAAATAAATATTGCAATGTAAGAGTGTGTGAGGAAATAAATAAGTAATGCAAGGAGAAACATTGTGTGCATTTTTTTTCTTCCGCAGTGCCTTGATCAAATGATTCAGGTCAACTCAGTCTTGATGATTTACATGGGCTATATTGGCTTGTATTTTGAGGTAAGTTTTATTATTGTGATATCTGGTGGCATTTGGGATTCATATTTAGTGGACTTTTTCATAATTGTATCTTTGGTGTTAGTTTTTTTTGATGATATGCATTACATTGAATGGTAACAATTATGAATCTGCTAATACAAGTGAAAAACGAATAGCCTTTCCATGCCGATTAAAGTGTGTTGTAGACTATAACGACACACATTAGAGACCTCACACGCACAGTCATTCCATTCTAGCAGAAAGCGACTTATTTATTATGCAAATTTAACGATATGTATATTTCACATACCTCTAATCGCTGCATGACATTTTAATTGGGTAACCGTTGTGGTTTGAATAAATGAAGTGTTAATTCATTGGGATTAATTAATTAAGGTAAAGACTGTGTACAAGGTTACACTGGTGTATTAAATCAATTTGTTTAGTGCTCATCTGGCGATGATGGGCTTTAATGATAAGACGGTGGTCTCATTACTACCAAGGGTTAAGATGACAGTGGGCCGAGAACAGAGCCTGCTGACAAAGCGCGTCTCATACACATTTACACATCAGGAATTGGTGTGAAAAAACTGAAAATAAAATTAGTACAAAGTAAAAATTTATTCCACGATATGCACTGATGTAGACTTTATTGCATGTTTTAAAAAAAAATGTCCAACCCAGAGAGATAAAGACCAATGTAAATTGCATGGCAATTTAAATCCACAGCGTTATGCGAATGATTCCCGGCTTCTAAGTAAATAAAAAGGTGTCTGGATGGATTGGAGTGAGCCCTTTAAAAACGCACGCGTCTAGTCTCCAGATGTTACAGCCTGCCCTGTGAGCAGTTTTTATCTGTCAGCCTGTTCACTGCTCTGCCAGTTTATGTCTCGCGAGAGCAGCCGAGCACGGGCTTGACGAGATCTGAGGCGCTCAGGTGTAAGAGCCTCTCTCATCCCCAGCAGTGGGAAACAGTAGACAGATAAGTGCGTCTGAGAGACTGCAGGCATCTCTGTGATCTCCGGGCTCAAGGCTGCACTCGGCGCACTACACAGCGAACTACACTGCATCATTACTGGATAGGCAAAGGACCACTGTGTATCTATGACTATTTTCCTGCTCTTGTAGCAGCTTTTCCCCCTTCTTCCCTTGCACTTTAATTGGAGAAGCTCGCCAAGATGATGTCCATGAACAGCAAACAGCCGCACTTCGCCATGCATCCCTCTTTACCCGAGCACAAGTACACCACTTTGCATTCCAGCTCGGAAGCTATAAGGAGAGCCTGTCTACACACTCCACAGGTAAATAATATCCCAAATAACTTCGACTTTTGTCCCTGACTAAAGTGCATGCAACGCTGATTGCTGTCTGTGCGTAATAACAAGAGGCGCTCCAAGGCACATTCTGCCAAGACGCGCACTTATTGTTTTTTTCATGTTGTCCGCGGCTATCACTCGAAGGGTCTTCTTTTTGAAAGCATGCTCACGCAAAGTCGGCTTTACTGTTTTTGTATTAATGTGTATGACTTGCCGCTTGAAAGGGAATACTCCTGTTGTGTTATGTGTCGCAAAAAGTCCCGGCTGACAGATCCATTTTGAAATGTTTTTCTTTTATCTGACGTGTTCCCTTTTTTTTCTCCGTGTCTTTTTATTTTACCCTACCAATTTAAAACCCCTTTATTCTCATTTTGATCCTAATTTCCTCCTTTGCAGCTGCAGAATAACATCTTCGCAAGCCTGGATGAGACCCTGCTGGCTCGGGCAGAGGCTTTGGCGGCCGTGGATATCGCCGTGTCCCAGGGCAAGACTCACCCGTTCAAGCCCGACGCCACCTACCACACGATGGCAACGGTGCCATGCCCTTCTAATTCCACGGTGCCACTGGCCCATCATCACCACCACCATCATCACCACCACCATCCGAACTTGGAACAGGACATCATGGACCACATCTCCTCGCCGTCCCTCTCCCTGATGTCCGGGGCGCACGACGGTTCCGGCGGAGGTGGCGGTGGAGGCGGCGGAGGTGGTGGCGGAGGACTCATCTCCACCTCCTCTGCCCATCCGCACTCTCACATGCACGGCTTGAGCCACCTCTCCCACCAGGCTATGAGCATGAACTCGCCTCTCACCCACCACGGGCTCTTACCGGGCTGTCACGGAGGGGTTCAAGGCGGCCAAGGACTCACTAACGCCGGACTGCCCTGCATCAATGACTCGGACACAGACCCAAGGGAGCTGGAGGCTTTCGCGGAGCGCTTCAAGCAGCGCAGGATCAAACTGGGGGTGACCCAGGCGGACGTGGGAGGCGCTCTGGCTAATCTCAAAATCCCCGGCGTGGGATCACTGAGCCAAAGTACAATTTGTCGATTTGAGTCGTTAACTCTGTCCCACAACAACATGATTGCTCTCAAACCTATCCTCCAGGCCTGGCTCGAGGAGGCCGAGGGGGCCCAGAGGGAGAAAATGAACAAACCTGACATTTTCAGCGGAGGGGAAAAGAAACGCAAGAGGACCTCGATAGCGGCCCCGGAAAAGAGGTCTTTGGAGGCTTACTTCGCCGTACAGCCTCGACCGTCGTCCGAGAAAATAGCAGCTATAGCAGAAAAGTTGGACCTGAAAAAAAATGTGGTGCGAGTGTGGTTTTGTAACCAAAGACAGAAGCAGAAGAGGTTGAAATTTTCCGCTTCTCACTGATGGGCAAAGAAAAAGAAAAAAAAGTTGTGTGACTGAATTTGGGGACCAAGGGACACTAAAGACACCATTTTCAGTCTTTTGTGTCCAGCGATTTTACACGTTGGTGCACAATGGGCTTTATATACCCATTTTACGAGGCTTCATATATCTTTTTTATTTTCACGTTATTGGTGAATGTGAAGTATGCAAATAACAGATTACACAAGTTTCTCTCAGTTGTTTCGAGGAGAAGGTTTAGCGACGTCAACATTGCCTTTTAAAACATGTGGAAAGAGGTAATTTGCTTGATACTATAGCGAGTTATTTTCTCCGTATAGGCCTATTATTTGAAGTATAGCCATTTACGAATTACCTCATTGATTGTTGAACTGTGTTTTGGTTTGATTCTTGTCGTTGTTGTTATAGAATAATTCATGAATCTGTTCATTTATTCATGTGTTCATTTATTCTCATTTGGAGGCTGCTTTAAACTCAAATTTAGTTGCAAACTTTCTAAGGCGAACGAAACAAATGTTTAGGCCTACATGAAATCTTAATTCATGGGCAGTAATTTAGCCTCTATAGGCTGTCACATCCAGAGATATATTTATTTTGAATTTGCACAAAAGACCCTTTAGGTTTATAGATCGGAAATGGTTTTGTATATACAGACATCACGTTGTCACTTACAGCTCCTGTGGAAATACATTATAGGGTTTATTGACACCACTGGCATCACAATGAGGAGTTTTAAAATAATCCAGAGAGCACGAGAGCCTGTCTGCTTTATCAAGGAGATAATACAAAATTAAACTTTTTTTCTCCATGTGTTTCAGTTTGCAGTGCAAACACTATGCATTGGAAACAGAATCACTGCATACAGTAGAGCTGTCTGCTGATTAAACCCTCTTTTGTGGATGGAGTCACTGTTAAATGCCTGTTTTCACATTAAGATCACCACGTTGTTTGTCGTGTTAATTGTTAAGGAAACGTTGTGTAAGTATTATTTTACTTTGTGCACAAGTATGTTTACAAAACTGCGGCGACATGTGCATCATGGAGAAAGTCCAACTGTCTCAACTTCTCCACTCTCCTCTGTTGTTCTCTTACTTTCATTGGTACTGTTCATCCTGTAAGCCAAATTCAACAGGGAGGTGTGTTCCAGCAATCTTCTAATAAATTGAAGAAAGAATACGATGCCTTTCTGGTTGTGATTGGGCCCACAATGAACAGAATTATTATGGTTTTGTAATGTGGACTTTGGTTAAACCTGTTATTATGGCCACCGATACGAATTGAGACGTTTATTTTATTTTAGATTCTAGTTTTGTTTTGATTTTACAAGTTTGCTTTTTTCTCCTGCATTTTTAAATTCTAGATAAAGCGTTCACAAATCGAAATAATGCTTGGACATTGTTGGATTTATTTCTGGTAACTGAATTTGCTTATTTTGGGAGGCAAACCATTTCAAATTTAGGAATGTCAAAAGAAGTATTACTGCAGGTCAGTCACATTTTTAAACTGAAAGGATTTGTACAATACATTTTTGTGCAAACAAAGAAAATAATATGTAATGTTTTAATAACAACACGAACTGAATAATAATAATAATAATACCATTTTCAAATATGAATGTTAGTTTAAAATTTACAACAGAATAATGTTATTGATCTCATAATTATAACAATAGATCATTGCATTTTTAAGTTGTAGTTTTTAGTTGCCCATCTTTTTGAATGTTTGCACTTTAGCCTCAACTACAGCAGAATAGGCTTTTAAATGAAGCATGGAATTCTTAACCAGGATAAAGTTACCGCCTTTTGCTGTGACGAAACGGGACTATCAACATTTAATGAAGTTCAGCAGCAATAATTTAGCGACAGAGAGGGAAAAGGGGTGCCGTGTACAAGAGAGAGATGACATTAAAGAAAAAAGAGCATTTATTTCTAAATAAAAACGATCACTGCGTGACCTCTAGCCTGCTACACATATTTATATTCTCTCTATTTTTCCAGATATCTTGGTGCTCGACTTTCAGCTGCATTTATAAAACGGATTTTTTTTGTTGCAGGAAATGTAATATTAATCGCGAATTGCTGATATAAAATGCAATATTTTCAGACAGCTATCGGGGGTTTTCAGGGGAGGCAGGCGGACGAAGGAAGCCGCTGTTTTGCAGCAGAGAAAGTGTATTGCTTCTCTTTAGCTTTTGGCTACACGGATTGAAGAGTGAGAAATT